TACCCTAAATATTTTCTTGTAAATCTAGATCAATGTACTCAGTAAGCGCAGGACAAAATAGTTTTTTCATTAAAGATGTTACAGCCTTCACACGAAAGGGGCCTTAGTGTATTTTGTAAAATGTGAGACGCATCCGTGTGATATAGCCAAATGTTAGGGGATGTGGCTAAAATTTACCCTAATATTTTCTTATATATCTAGATCTAGATCACCTGTAGGAATGATTGATGCTCTCGAATACACTATAGTCATGACCCAAAAAAGATACATTGAATTTCTCTTATATTCATAACGAGTGACGTGATTACTTAGAGAATTAGAGGAAAAGCATATTGGATGGATCCATCACACCCTATTCTTCAAGCCTCTTGTTTTTTTTTTTTTTTGGTGGGGGAGGGGTTCTGCATTGTGCCCTTGGAATCAAGCAATATTCAAGATATTAGCATAACTCAAGACTTATGTGACTTTTGATGATGTACAAAATAATCTCGTACAAGATCAACAGTCGAGTGTGTGATAAGGTGTAATTAATGGACAATAAATAAAGCAATCAATGACAGTAATGTAAATATTGAGTCAATACACAGATATATAGTGGATCGATCCGGGTAACCTACTTCATTTTGGAAAACGGCAACGGTGGCCGCAGGATCTTTATTGATGAAGTAAGGTGAACAAGAGAAAGAGCATTGGTTAGCTCCGCGAGAGATGCAATAGCTTGGAGAGAGAAAGTGTGTGTAGAGTGGTGTAGAAGTAGAGCTTAATGTGTCCTCTCATGTAGAGAAGACTTACAATTTATAGGCACAAAGTCTTGATTGAGGCGGTGACGTGAGGGTGAAGGTACTAGATCTTCGGGGAGGATAGCTACAAAAGGTAAGTAAATTAAGGTAGTCTTGATCATCGAGGGTGTGTATCCCGATGATTTCTCCCCATGTGCTATAATTCTTCCTAAACTCCTTGGAACTTGGGTTGGGCCGGATTTACAAACTGGACTTGACCTGTCATTTAGTTGACTTGAGCTTGCTGGATTTTTTGGGCCTAATTCAGTTGGATTTGGGCGCATCACCTTTGATAGAAGAGTAATGTTATACAAATCAACGGGTATTTAGTCAAATGGTACTCTTTATCTTATAAAAACATTATTTTCTTGAGGTCAAGAGTTCAAATTCCCCCTCCACCTCTCCCTCCCCCCTCAAAAAAAATGTTACACAATTCAAATGAAATTCAAAAAATTATAATTTAAATACATATCATCCCTTGGATGAATATGTCCCATCAATTTTTTCTAATAAGACTCACTCATTTAAAAGATAATATGTATTTAAATTGTAATTTCTGAATTTCATTTAACTTGTATAACATTTTCATGATAGAAACCTAGAAGCTACGACAGCCATACATGTCCAAGGTCATGATATCCAGATTACTTTTGTGATGCAAGAACAGAAAAGTCTAAGTCCATAGTTAAAGCGAGAGTGTTGCTATGGTGAACAAATATTTTTACCAAATTTTATTTTTAAAGTGAGATGGTACAATTCAAATTAATGGATCACATTAGCATCTAGTCATTAAAGTTGTTAACTATTACACCGAAAAACTAATGTTTCGAGGCTAAATTATACAATTTATATTGACTCTAATCTTACAATAGCACTGATCCCAAAATTTAGGAAGATCAATTATGTCTTAATCGCATTTTTTCATGCCCTATGACGTGATGTTAGACTATATTATTCTTTCCTCAATAATCTGATCAGAAAATATTTTAGATCATTAAGGCCATAAAATTAAAGACTAATTATGTTTTAATAACATTTATCACGAACAATGACGTAATGTAGACTTTGTTAGCCTTTCCTCAATAATTTGATCATAAAATATTTAGACCATTCAAAGTCACAAAATTAATGATCAATTATGTCTAAATAATGTTTTTTACCCACAATGGCGGCGATGGTTGAGCTTGTTAGCCTTTCCTCAATAAGATAAACATTTTGCCCATTAAAAAGTCAAAAAAATTCAAGACGGAAGAAGCCTTCTCTCATTTCTTTGATTGCTACCAGGGATGACAGTGGACCAAAAAAAAAAAAAAATTTCGTCCAAATTCATCTCGTTTAGACTAGAGATAAACTATACGTATTAGACGGTGAACATATACAAAAATATTCATATAAATCCGTGCGAGAATAAATGTAAGAATAGACTGACACTCATCCCCCCTCCATCCCATTATTGTAAACCCGTTAAAATATATATATATATATGACATTTTCAAGTGTGGACCCTTCTTCTTTTTCTTTTTCTTTTCTTTTCTTTTCTATGTTTCTGTCCCTCCCTCACCTTATGGGTTTCAAACGTGTCAGATTAAACGGTTACATGTCAAGTTAAACGGGTGACGGGTGAAAAATATATAAATCCGTACACGAAACGGGTAAAAAATCTCAACATGAATACTACCCGTTTAATAAACAAATAACAAACACANTTCAAACGTGTCAGATTAAACGGTTACATGTCAAGTTAAACGGGTGACGGGTGAAAAGTATATAAATCCGTACACGACACGTTTAATAAACGGGTAAAAAATCTCAACATGAATACTACCCGTTTAATAAACAAATAACACAACACGACTCGTTTAACCCGTTTAATTTTTAAAAAAATTATATTAACAAATTTTAAAACTCTATTTTTTTTATTGACAATTGCACTTACCTCAAAAAAGAAGATTTTTTAGTCAAATCTCATAAAAATAAGACTTGAAAGCCTAAAAAAAAAAGTAAAAGGTCATTACTTTTTATAGGCAACTCAACCCTCTCTATCTCCTCTCATTTTTCAATGTGGGACAATTAAGGCTTGAAGACTTAAAAAAAAAAAGTAAAAGGTCATTGTTTTTTTTATAGGCAACTCAACTTTCCTCATCTCCTTTCATTTTTCAATGTGGAACAAATAATACTTGAAGGCTTAAAAAACAAATGTAAGAGGTCATTGTTTTTTATAGACAACTCAACCCTCTCAATCTCCCTTCATTTTTAAATGTGGGACAAATAAGACTTGTCTTTGTCTTTGAAGTGTTCTTCATTTTTAAATGTGGGACAAATAAGACTTGTCTTTGTCTTTGAAGTGTTCTTCATCTACTCTCGTTTGTTTTTGAACTATTATTTTACTTCTTTTTTTTATTGATTTTTTTACTTCTTTTTTTCTTACTAATTTTTTTAAATAATTATTAATTTTATTTAAACGGATAAACGTGTGATAAACGGTTTGATAAATTTTACCTGAATACGATCTATTTATTAAACATATTTGAGATGTCAATCTATTTATCACCTAAATCCGTTAAGATCTTACTCAAATTTACTAAATTTATTTTGATTCTTATCTATCGTGTCAAGTTTTAACAGACTACCTCACCTGGCCGGTCCCCCACCCACTTTCCACTTCTTTTTCTGTTTCGTTTCTTTTCTTTTCGTTTCTTCTTTTCTGACCCTAAGCAGCCCCCACCCACCCTCTTTTGTTTCAACTTTCAACCCTCCATCATGCGCCCCTCCCTCTTTTCCCCCGTCTCCATCGTCTCCCTCTTTTCACTCCGGTTCACTGCCATCCCTAATGGCCACACCTCCAAGGTGTCTAATTTTCTTGATCTTCCTCCTAATATCTACCGAACCCTTGGCCTTAGATCAAGATGGCACCAAGTTCATCTACCATGGCTTTCGTGAATCCAAACTGTATCTTGATGGACAAGCAGTAATCCATCCCAATGGCCTATTGCAGCTAACCAACACTTCCCACCAACTTACTGGCCATGCTTTCTTCCAAATTCCTGTTAAGTTTAACACGTCTTCCTTATCTGGGTCAGCTCAATCTCTTTCATTTTCCACCTATTTTATCTTTTCCAATGTTCCTACACTGGCAAATCCTAAAGGCAACGGCTTTGCCTTCACCATCTCACCATCTCTGAGCTTCACCAAGGGAGGCATGACAGACCAGTTTTTGGGCGTTTTCAATACTTCAAACAACGGCCTTGCCTCGAACCATGTGCTTGCAGTTGAGTTTGATACTCTGCAGAACCCTGAGTTTGAAGATATAAATAGCAATCATGTGGGAATTGATGTAAACAGCCTAAAATCGGTTGTATCTGCTCCAGGGTCATATTTTCCTAATACAGATGGGATCAAGAAGATCTTGGAACTCACGAGTAAAACCCCAACGCAGGTTTGGATAGACTATGATGGAGTGGAAAAGATTATCTTCGTTACCATAGCTCCCATCAGAATCGCAAAACCAAATCAACCTCTCTTGTCGGCGTCCATTGATCTTTCTCTGGTTTTCTTGGAGTTTATGTATGTTGGTTTCTCTGCATCGACAGGAGCAGTGTCAGTAAGCAACCAGTACATTCTGGGGTGGAGCTTCAACAAAACAGGACCAGCGCAAAGTCTAGAACTCTCAAAGCTTCCTTCAGTTCCCCAACCCAGAAAATCCAAACAAAAATTACATCGAGATGTTGGATTCTCGACCTCAACAATACTGGTTGTGCTGATCATCACTATGGCTGGGATTGCTTACATACAAAGGAGAAGAAAGTATGCAGAAATACTAGAGGATTGGGAATTGGAGTATGGACCTCAGAGGTTCTCCTACAAGGATCTCTACAAAGCGACCAATGGGTTCAACCACAAAGAGGTTCTTGGAGTAGGAGGTTTTGGACAGGTTTACAGAGGAGTACTTCCTTCTTCCAATGCCCAAGTCGCAGTGAAGAGAGTCTCCCATGACTCAACACAAGGGATGAAGGAATTTGTGGCTGAAATTGCCAGTATGGGAAGGCTCAGGCACAGGCACTTGGTGGCCCTCCTTGGCTATTGCCGGAGAAAGGGAGAGCTTCTGTTGGTCTATGATTATATGCCCCATGGAAGTCTTGACAAGTTTTTACANCTTGGTGGCCCTCCTTGGCTATTGCCGGAGAAAGGGAGAGCTTCTGTTGGTCTATGATTATATGCCCCATGGAAGTCTTGACAAGTTTTTACACAGGAACGAGAATCCCAGCCTGAATTGGGCACAACGCTATCGAATCATTAGAGGGGTAGCATCTGGCCTTCTGTATCTACACGAAGAGTGGGAAAAAGTTGTTCTTCACAGGGATGTCAAGGCCAGTAATGTCCTTGTGGATGCCCATTTTAACGGACGGCTCGGAGACTTTGGGCTTGCTAGATTGTATGATCATGGTGAAAATCCTAAAACAACCCATGTGGTTGGAACTTTTGGATATATAGCACCAGAGCTTGCTAGAACCGGCAAGGCAACTACTAACACAGATGTCTTTGCTTTCGGAGCGTTTATGCTAGAAGTGGCTTGCGGAAAAAGGCCTCTAAAGGTACACGGATTGACTGATGATATGGTTCTGGTTCAGTGGGTTATGGAGAAATGGAAAGGAGGAGCAATCCTTGAGGCAAGTGATCCGAGATTGGGAGGTGACTTTGTGGTGGAGGAAATGGAGTTGGTTTTGAAGCTGGGTCTGCTTTGCTCACACTATAATCCGATGGCTAGGCCTAGCATGAGGCAAGTGATGAGGCATTTGGATGGGGATGCTATACTGCCCGAAGTATTTATGAACATCGCTGCATTATTTGGAGATGATGTTTCAAATGGATTTGCAATGACATTTCTTTCATCATCATTGAGGAATATTTCTGCTAATGCCCTGTCTGGTATTGAGTCACTCCTTGACAAGGGACGTTATGACTAATAAGTTTGATGGGCAATTCCATGTATTTTGGCATCAACTTTTGATAGTCATGTTTTTTGATTTTATTTGTTTAGACATTCTAGTTTTAATCTTGTAGATAATAGATAAAGTCTTCGGATTTTTTTCCAAAGTATTGTTCTTATTGGAGTGTTATTTGTATTATTCACTAAGGTTAGTTTTTTGATTACACACATTTACTCTTATATACTAGTTGGGTTGAATCATTTTGATTATAAATTATTTTTTGTAATTGATGTAAAAAATAGTACATATTTATTTATTTAGAAGTTTGGAACATACCAAGAAGTATGTAATTACAATATTAGTAGATAGTTAGGAAATAATTCATCTCGTCTCTTTTTCTTTCATTGTTTTTGTAGAAAGAGTCATGTTGATTATATAAAGCTAGTAAGAGATTAGTTCTTCCTGCATGATCAATCATGCGTGGCTGGCAATCTAGGTAGTGTAAGTGACTAATGATGATCACTTCCCTATTCATCTAATAAGGTACAAGACAATTCAAATCTGAAAAATAAAAAAACGGTTCATAACATTTCAAGATAAAACAAATAGTCATCCGACAGATTACGTTACCCCAGCCCAAGATGAACCTAAAATGGCCACTTTCACTAATTCATCTAGTGTACTAACAAGTAAAATTAAGCTTATTTCCAACAAATTCATGATGCAGTGAGACCAAACTTTGAATTCTTAGCCAAGCTTGGAGTAGACAGGTGGTGCTTCCATGATGGCAACTTTAATGGACAATACTCTTTTAGACGTTGCATGTTGTCCAACAGCGAATGTTGGAAGCTTATAAGAAACACGCAACAGGGGAAACAGAGCAAATGGTCCTTAAATCTGTGATTGATTTTCGCACCCCTGCAAAGGTATTGTTCTAGAATAACCTGCTTCAGAAAAGTAAGGCATGAGATTCTTTAAGGAAATTAGTATGGGGGATACGCCTATTCTGTGTGATTCTTTTTTCTTGGCAAGGATATTTTGCATTGCTAAATTTGTAATCATCAACTTGACTGGCTTTTGGTATTTTAGTTTTCTTCTTTTTCTGAGTTAATTATTTTTGTTTCTATAGTAATTTGAGTGGGAAATTCTAAAACTGTGTTAGAGTAACTTGAATTTGGGCCAGGATTTCCCACTTAGAGGTTTGATTGACTAAATATTGCTTATGTTGCTATAATTTGTTGAATCCTGGTGATGAAGACTCCAATGCCAAATATATTGAATTTTTTAGGCCTTCGGCTTTCAATGTGCACATATTTAGGTTTTGAGTAGGATATCGATGTTGATTTTAAAGAGTATATTTCTAGGACTAATGTTAAATCATGAAAGGGAAATAAATAGATAGGTGTTTACTTTGAGCTTATGCTGAAGATAATTGGTATTGTCCACTTTGAGCCTCCTTGTGTGCTATTTGATAAAAATGTCATCAATATTTTTAGTGGGCCCAAATTAATTATAATAGTGAGCGACAACGCTAAATAATTTGACAACAAATTCCTCAATGTATTTTGCACTAACTTTCAAATTAAAAAAACCTCACTCCAATCCATCCCCGCCCCAAGAAAACGGACAGGCTGAGGTCACTGTAAGAACTATACTGCGCAATCTGAAAGACGGGTAAGAAAACACCAAAGGACTATGAGTAGAAGAACTCCTAGGGGTTCTGTGGGCATACCGGACAACAACCGGAGCCCCACTGGCAACAGGGGCGAATCTAGCTGCCCCCACTGCAATTTTTAAAACATGTAGGATATATTTAGAATTTCAAAAAATTTAAGACATTGCCCCCAATGAAATATCATCAAAGTTCATGGATAAGTTTGTATTTTACAAACAAGTGTGGCATCATTTGTCTTTGGCAGACTTTTAGTTGTGGACCCATATGTCCGTTGATAACATTGAGATTCCCTATAAAAAACAATAGAAATTTATGGAGTGATCCTACTTATCAAAAAATATGAAGTAATCTTGGCCGTTCATATGCATGACTTTTTAGATTTAATAGTTTTAAATGAAACAAAGATTTAATTAACTATAAACAAATTTGAATAGATAGTCAAATTAGGGGATACACCAGCACAAGTCAATTTGGATCACATTCAATTTCTTTTTTCCAAGGACGACAAAATATTTTTTATTTAGATAAATATGAGAAGCTATTTTTTAAAATTTCATAGTTGATCTTGAATTAAAATAATTGATTTTAATATTAAAGATTGATTTCAAGTAACTCAAAAATTATAATTTGATCCTGAAAAATTGTAACTTTAATCCTAAAAGTTATAACATGACTCATAAAAGTTATAATTTTGTAGATTTTTTTTTCTTTTTCTCTTTTTAGCAAAAAAAACTCAAAAATTTATATAACAACCCACAAGACTTATAAACTCCACTAGTGTAGCCCTTTTGATATCAAAGTTGAATTCCAGCTCTAAATATTATTTATAAACATGACAAAAAATTAACGACTAATTAAGTTGTCCTCACAACTAAAAAAGTCTAGCTCCGCCCTTGACTGGCAAGACTCCTTTCTCCCTCGTCTTTGCCACTGAAGCAGTCATACCCGTCGAGATTGGGGTCCACTCATTGAGGGTCCAACACCAATAAAGAAGGTCTTTGCGTCTACCTCGACTTAACAAATGCGGAGAAAGAGATGGTCACGATTAGAAAATGCGGAATACAAGCGCCGCATGACCAAGTACTACAACTTGAGGGTAAAGTCTTGCTCGTTTTTACCTGGAGACTTGGTCCTTAAAAAGGTAATACTAGCCACTAAGGACTCACGAGAGGTGAAGCTACGACCAAACTAGGATGGGCCTTACATTGTTTGTGAGGTTAGACACTTATTGAATCCAGAATTCTGAGGGAAAGGTTTTGTTCCATCCATGGAATGCTGAACAGCTGAAAAAGTACTACCAATAGTGCCACAAGACAAAGGTAGCAGGAGTTTGTTTTTATTTTGTGTAGTTGTTTTGTACTCTTTTTCTTTTTTTTTTTTTGGAGGGGGGGGGCGACCTGCACACTTGTGTTTACCACAAACAGTTATTAAATAAAGCCTCGAGGATTCATCACATAAATTATCTTGCTTTTCATTTCACAAAGGTTCAAAAACAAATAAACAGCACAGTCTGACACGAAAAAAGAGAGACAAAATCTATCAAACATTCTCCTCAACACTATGGCTTTTTTCGTTGTCTATCAGTCATCACCACCTACGCCTAGCTCCTCATATGGGACAAATGCAAAAAATCTATGCTGGGAAAGGAAGCTGAAGCTTTCCCCCTGTGCCCCTCATAACTATCAAAAAACATCTGCTACACTATTCTGCAAGTCATGAATAGTCATCTCTACAACCTTCTTCCTCTTTTCCTTTTCTTGGGATCAACCTCNATTATCCTGCAAGTCATGAATAGTCATCTCTACAACCTTCTTCCTCTTTTCCTTTTCTTGGGATCGGCCTCTACTCTGGTAACCCTCACATGAGTAACCCGAAGCTCTGCTTCTGCCGCGAAAACCCTCTCATGAGCTACTCACAGCTTTGCCTCTGTTGTGGCAGCCCTCTTATGAGCAACTCGTAGTTCTATCTTAGCTTTGACAGCCTTCTCATGAACTGATCGTAACTCTATCTCTACTCTCAAGTAAGTAGCCTTAATCTCAACCTCTAACTTAATCGTTCTCTCATAAACCGCCAAAAGCTCAGCTTCAAGATGTGTAACTCTCTCATGAGCCACCCTTAACTACTCCTCAATAGCCTACAGTGTATGTCTCTCCTTCATTAGAGTCATCAATATATGCTCATGTGATGGTTAGCCCTTGCAAAAAGACACGTACGTTCGTGGACACCTACAAACATGCAAAAAGAAAAAAAAGGTCACTGTCATCAGAGGATACAAGAAAAAAAATTCTACATAAAAGAAGTATAGATGATTACCTTGGCTAAGCCCTCTATCATGGTATCAATAATATCATCGATACCTTGATAGCTAACTTCTTTAATGTCTAAAGGTGACACGAAACTTGAGAGTCGATCCTTAGCAATATTCATGTCCCAAAGTATAGGCAATGTATAACTGTTGGACACTGAAGAAGCAAGCGCTGTTCTGGTCTGTACGGAAGAAAGAATCCCCACTTCTGGAGACGCCATAACTAGCAGGGGTAGCCAAGGGAGACGCTTGGATATCTGGAACATGTGGAGGAGGCACCTTCGGGGAAGCTGTGGAGGCATCATCGAATCTTACTATCTTGGGTGGAGGAGTCATTTATGTAGCCTTGGCGGAGTAGAGAGCCTTCACCCTCAATCAATTTACTATGGAGCCTACGTAAAGTTAGGCATTTTTAGAAATTGAAAATACCATCATATTCACCATAAAAATTACTTACCTCTCTTCTTAGAAGAAGAATCGCGAGCTAACAAAAAAGAAGGGCTGGAAGCACCTTTTGAAGGGAAAACTCCAGCCTGACCCTTTCCAGCCATGAGAACCGTACATTTGTCCCTAACAGAGTTGTCAACAGATAAGAAATGGACAGATCTTCCCCTGATCTGTTGACAACTCTGGCAAACCTAAAAAATAGTTAAATTCATGCTGAGGATGTAAAGAACACATCGACTGAATGGTGATAAGAAATGGACAGATTTATACCTATCCTCTTAGGAGCACCCCACCTTGCTGGATCTGGAGTGCGATCCTCCTCGGTAGCTCACTCTCATCTCAAGAATAAAAATCGAGTCTTCCAATAATGAAAGTTGGAGTGTAGTCCAGCAATCAACTTTCCTACCTTTGAAGAAAAGTGAAACCAACCTCAATTAGGAGTGAGGTTCTCCTGTAACATATAGGCGGCGAAAAATTGTCCGCAAGTAGCAGAGGCACTCAAGCCATGCACCCGTTGCCACAACGAAAGAAACGCTAACAATACTCTCTAACCATTTGGAGTTAACTACGCTAGCATGAGAGACAACTGTGCCAAGATACGACACACAAACATAGGAATCGGGAATTTCAAACCTACCTCTAGCACCACTTCATAGATGGCAATGCCCCCAGATGAATCATTGGAAGCCGGCTAGCCCATCTCAGCCCTATGACACAACACAATAGGGGGAATACAAAAAATAGAGGCGATTCTAGCAATTTTACCATCAATAGTGATAACGCTAGAAATAGTGCTCACCTTAGAGCCAACATCGTCAACAACTATTTTCCATGAAGTTTGCCACATTGTGAGCAATCTTGCAGCCTATAGACTTGTTGTTTGCCTGCGCTTCACTGCCAACGCCATCTTTGAGTGCCTCGCTCATGCTTTTGCTTGCTTTGTGTATCCCCGAGCCCTCAGCTCCATGTTGCCCATCGGTTAAGCCATCGACTGAATGGTGATAAGAAAGGAAAAGATTTATACCTATCCTCTTGGGAGCACCCCACCTTACGGGATCTAGAGCACGATCCTCCTCGATAGCCCACTCTCCTCCCAGGAATAAAAATTGAGTCTTCCAACTATGAAAGTTAGAGTGTAGTCCAGCAATCAACTTTCCTACCTTTAAAGAAAAGTGAAACCAACCTCGATTAGGAGTGGGGTTCTCCTATAACATATAGGCGGCAAAATATTGTTTGTAAGTAGGAGAGACACTCAAGCCATGCACTTGTTGCCACAACAAAGGAAATGCTACCAATACTCTCCCACAATTTGGAGTTAACTACGCTAGCATGAGAGACAACTGCACTAAGATACGTCACACAAACATAGGAATCGGGAATTTCAAACCTACCTCTAGCACCACTTCATAGATGACAATGTCCCTAGATGAATCATTGGAAGCCGGCTCGCCTACCTCAGCCCTATGACACAAAACAATAGGGGGAATACAAAAAATAGAGGTGATTCTAGCAGTTTCGGCATCAATAGTGATAACACTAGAAATAGTGCTCACCTTAGAGCCATCATCGTCAATAACTATTTTTCCATGAAGTTTGCCTCATTGTGGATGCTGGGAAACATCGTTTCTATCATCACCAATCTCGCAGCCCATAGACTAGTTGTTTGCCTGCGCCTCACTGCCAACGCCATCTTTGAGCGCCTCGCTCTTGCTTTTGCCTACTTTGTGTACGCTTGAGCCCCCGGATGCATTTTGCCCATCGATTAAGTCATCGACTGAATGGTGATAAGAAAGGAAAAGATTTATACCTATCCTCTTGGGAGCACCTCCACCTTGCTGGATCTAGAGTGCGATCCTCCACGGTAGCCCACTATCCGCCTAGGAATAAAAACCGAGCCTTCCAACTATGAAAGTTGGAGTGTACTCCAGTAATCAACTTTCCTACCTTTGAAGAAAAATGAAACCAACCTCGATTATGAGCGGGGTTCTCTGATATCTTATAGGCGGCGAAAACTTGTTCACAAGTAGGAGAGGCACTCAAGCCATGCACCTGTCGCCACAACGAAAGAAACACCAACAATACTCCCCAACCATTTGGAGTTAACTATGCTAGCATGAGAGGCAACTGTGCCAAGATATGACACACAAACGTAGGAATCGGGAATTTCAAACCTACCTTTAGCACCACTTCATAGATGACAATGTCCCCAGATGAATCATTGGAAGCCGACTCGCCTATCTCAGCCCTACGACACAACACAATAGGGGGAATACAAAAAATAGAGGCGATTCTTGCAATTTCAGCTTCAATAGTGATAACGCTAGAAATAGTGCTCACCTTAGAGCCATCATTGCCAACAACTATTTTCCATGACATTTGTCTCATTGTGCATGCTGGGCAACATCGTTTCTATCATCACCAATCCCGCAGCCCATAGACAGGTTGTTTGCCTTAGCCTCACTGCCAACGCCATCTTTGAGCGCCTCGCTCGTGCTTTTGCCTGCTTTGTGTACGCCTCAGGCCCCGGCTGCATGTTGCCCATCGGTTAAGCCATCGACTAAATGATGATAAGAAAGGAAAAGATTTATACCTATACTCTTGGGAGCACTAAACCTTACTAGATCTAGAGCGTGATCCTCCTTGGTAGCCCACTCTCCTCCTAGGAATAAAAATCGAGTCTTCCAACTATGAAAGTTGGAGTGTAGTCCAACAATCAATTTTCCTACCTTCAAAAAAAAGTGAAACCAACCTCGATTAGGAGTGGGATTCTCCTGTAGCATATAGGAGGCGAAAAATTGTTTGCAAGTAGGAGAGGCACTCAAGTCATGCACCCGTCCCCACAACAAAATAAACGCTAGCAAAACTCTCCCACCATTTGGAGTTAACTACGCTAGCATAAGAGATAACTACGCCAAGATACGACACATAAATGTATGAATCAGGAATTTCAAACCTACCTCTAGCACCACTTCATAGATGACAATGTCCCCAGATGAATCATTGGAAGCCGGTTCGCCCATCTCAACCCTACGACACAACACAATAGGCGGAATACCAAAAATAGAGGCGATTCTAGCAATTTTGGCATCAATAGTGATAACGCTAGAATTAGTGCTCACCTTAGAGCCATCATCGTCAACAACTATTTTTCTATCAAGTTTGCCTCGTTGTGGATGCTGGGAAACATCTTTTCTGTTATAACCAATCTTGCAGCCCATAGATTGGTTGTTTGTCTGCGCCTCACTGTCAATGCCATCTTTGAGCGCCTTCATGCTTTTGCCTGCTTTGCGTATGCCTGATCCCCCGGCTACATGTTGCCCATTGGTTAAGCCATTGACTGAATGGTGATAAGAAAGGAAAAGATTTATACTTATCCTCTTGGGAGCACCCCCACCTTGCTGGATCTAGAGCACGATCCTCCTCGGTAGCCCACTCTCCTCCAAGGAATAAAAATCAAGCCTTTCAACTATGAAAGTTGGAGTGTAGTCCAACAATCAACTTTCCTACCTTCGAAGAAAAGTGAAACCAACCTCGATTAGGAGTGAGGTTCTTTGTTATCATATAGGCGGCGAAAACTTGTTCACAAGTAGGAGAGGCACTCAAGTCATGCACTCATCACCACAACGAAAGAAACACCAACAATACTCCCCAATCATTTGGATTTAACTACGCTAGGATGAGAGGCAAATGTGCCAAGATACGACACACAAACATAGGAATCGGGAATTTCAAACCTACCTCTAGCACCACTTCATAGATGACAATGTCCCCAGATGAATCATTGGAAGTCGACTCACCCATCTCAGCCCTATGACACAACACAATGGGGGGAATACAAAAAATAGAGGCGATTCTAACAATTTTAGCTTCAATAATGATAACCCTAGAAATAGTGCTCACCTTAGAGCCATCATCGTCAACAACTATTTTTCCATGAAGTTTGCCTCATTGTGCATGTTGGGCAACATCGTTTCTATCATCACAAATCTTGCAGCCCATAGACTGGTTGTTTGCCTGCGCCTCACTGCCAACGCCATCTTTGAGCGCCTCGCTTGTGCTTTTGCCTGCTTTGTGTAAGCCTGAGGCTACAACTGCATGTTGCCTATCGGTTAAGCCATCGACTGAATGGTGATAAGAAAGGAAAAAATTTATACCTATACTCTTGGGAGCACCAAACCTTACTGGATCTAGAGCGCGATCCTCCTTGGTAGCCCACTTTCCTCCCAGGAATAAAAATCGAGTCTTCCAACTATGAAAGTTGGAGTGTAGTCCAATAATCAACTTTCCTACCTTTGAAGAAAAGTGAAACCAACCTCGATTAGGAGTGGGGTTCTCCTGTAGCATATAGGAGGTGAAAAATTGTTTGCAAGTAAGAGAGGCACTCAAGCCATGCACCCGTCGCCATAATGAAATAAACACTAACAAAACTCTCCCACCATTTGGAGTTAACTACGCTAGCATAAGAGACAACTGCGCCAAGATACGACACACAAATGTATGAATCGGGAATTTCAAACCTACCTCTAGCACCATTTTATAGATGGCAATGTCCCCAGATGAATCATTTTGGAAGCCGGTTCGCCCATCTCAGCCCTACGACACAACACAATAGGCGGAATACCAAAAATAGAGACGATTCTAGCAATTTCAGCATCAATAGTGATAATGCTAGAAATAGTGCTCACCTTAGAGCTATCATCGTCAACATATATTTTTCCATCAAGTATGCCTCATTGTGGATGTTGGGCAACATTGTTTCTATCATCACCAATCCCACAACCCATAGACTGGTTGTTTGTCTGCACCTTACTGCCAACGCCATCTTTGAGCGCCTCGCTCGTGCTTTTGCCTTCTTTGTGTATGCCTGAGCCCCCAGCTGCATGCTGCCCATTGGTTAAGCCATCGACTGACTGGTGACAAGAAATGGAAAGATTTATACCTATCTTCTTGGGAGCACCCCACCTTGCTGGATCTAGAGCGCGATCCTCCTTGGTAGCTCACTCTCCTCCCATGAATAAAAATTGAGTCTTCCAACTATGAAAGTTAGAGTGTAGTCCAGCAATCAATTTTCCTACCTTCGAGGAAAAGTGAAACCAACTTCGATTAGGAGTGGGGTTCTCCTGTAAGATATAGGCGGCAAAAAATTGTTCGCAAGTAGGAGAGGCATGCAAACCTTGCACCCGTCGCCACAATGAAGGAAACGCTAACAATACTCTCCCACCATTTTGAGTTAACTACGCTAGCATGAGAGACAACTACGCCAAGATACGACACATAAACGTATGAATCGGGAATTTCAAACCTACCTCTAGCACCACTTCATAGATGGCAATGTCCCCAAATCAATTATTGGAAGCCAATGTGGCCATCTCAGCCCTACAACACAACACAATAGGGGGAATACCAAAAATAGAGACGATTCTAGCAATTTCAGTATCAATAGTGATAACGCTAGAAATAGTGCTCACCTTAGAGCCATCATCGTCAACATATATTTTTCCATGAAGTTTGCCTCATTTGTGGATGTTGGGCAACATCTTTTCTATCATCACCAATCTCATAGCCCATAGACTGGTTGTTTGTCTGCGCCTCACTGCCAACGCCATCTTTGAGCGCCTCGCTCGTGCTTTTGCCTGCTTTGTGTATGCCTGAGCCCCCAGCTGCATGCTGCCCATCGGTTAAGCCATCGACTAGCTGGTGACAAGAAAGGGAAAGATTTATACCTATCCTCTTGGGAGCACCCCACCTTCCTGGATCTAGAGCGCGATCCACCTCGGTAGCCCACTTTCTTCCCAGGAATAAAAATCGAGTCTTCCAACTATGACAGTTGGAGTGTAGTCCAACAATCAACTTTCCTACCTTCGAAGAAAAGTGAAACCAACCTCGATTAGGAGTGTGGTTCTCCTGTAACATATAGGCGGCGAAAATTTTTTTGCAAGTAGGAGAGGCAATCAAGCCATGCACCCGTCGCCACAACAAAAGAAATGCTAACAATACTCTCGAACCATTTGGAGTTAACTACGCTAACATGACAGACAATTGTGCCATGATACGGCACGCAAATGTAGGAATCTAGGATTTCAAACCTACCTCTAGCACCACTTCATAGATGGTAATGTCTACAGGTGAATCATTGGAAGTTGGGGCACACTACTATTATATATATTTTTTTAGAAAAACAACAATATTGATAATAAGACTTGCCCAAAAAAATTTTTTTGATAAAAATTGAAAATGGGGGTGAGACTAGGGTATATGCTAGGTATAATGACCGCAACTATATTTATTATTCATAGACAATTGAATAACAATAATTAAGAACAGTAAAAGCAATCGTGAGATTGAAAAAAATAATTCAATGAACAACAAATGCCCCAAAAGATTTCAAAATTTTCAAAACCCTAACCCAATGAAATGCATAAATCACGAGTCTAAAACATAAATAGCAAAATCAATGCACAAAATCAAATATTTAATCAAAATTCAACGCATGTAAACAAACCACAAAAGAAGAAAAACCTGAAAAAACAAAAACAAATCTGGCTACAAACTTGGTTTTTCTTTCTTCTTCTTTTCGAACTAGCTAGGCTACGCCTCTGTTCGCCCTTTTCGTTCCCCTCTCTCAAAGTCTCTCTCTCTCTCCCTCTTATCGATCGAGTGAGAGAATGAAAAGTTAGAATTGAGAAGGGGTAAATTGCACTAATAGTCCCTTAGATTTATCACTTGTTAAATTTTAATCTTGTTAATTTAGTTCTTGAAATTTACACATTTGTCCGATATGATCCCTTGCACTAACTTCCGTTTGAACCGTGGACGGAAAAATATCGCGTGCTTTGCATGTGTTTGTAAGGGTAGCTAAGTCATTTTCACCACTCCAACATTCAAACACACCTATGTCTCCTTTGAACAACTTTAAAACAAGACCCAAACAAATTACTTCTTCCTCTCTTTTACTCTTTTTCTCTCTTGCACACACAACAAAACACAAGCCCACACATAACCAAACCGAACAAATTATTTCTACCTCTAATATACTCTGTCTTTTTGTACAAAATACATGCCAAACCCAAGAACTCACTCCTCTCTACACAAATCACACAGTCACGCACACACACAAGACACTCTCCAATTCTCTCTTTTTCTGTACACAACACACACACACCCACCCCAAAATACCTATTTATACTAATTTTGTGAGAACCAACTCCACCAATGTCAGTACATAATCTACCTACCAAAAACCCAATTCAATCGACCACAATCAAAAAATCAGAACTCCCAATTCGAACCAATTCAAAATCCAATCACAAAATTGGAATCAAAATTGGATTAGAAATTGAAAACTGAAAATAAAAATTAAATCAATTATGTGTCAAGTCTGTGCTGGTGTGGAGGGTGTTGGGAAAGGAGTTGCGTCGAAAAATAGAGAAGGGAATGGTGGTGGTGCGCAGGTTGAGAGAGAGTTGGTCATGGCGAACAACCACAGTGGTGGGTGGCGTTGGCGGGGTATATGTGTGTTGTGGGTTGGGTGTTGCACGTTTGTGCTTCATGCGCGTGCTTGGTGCCGTGTGTGTGCATGCTAGAGTTGTTTGGGAGAATTTTGTGTTGTTGGGTTAATTTTGTGGAAGAATGGTGGCAAGGGGTGGGTTAGAGTTGTTTGAGAGAAGAAGAAAAAGAGTGAGGGAGAAGTATGTTAATAGTTTTAATGGATAACTAGTCGTGGGTACTTTTTTTAGAACTTATTTGATTTTAAATACTACGTCCAAACTTATACTTCATTAAGTTATTTTTTTCATCAAATAGTTGTCGATAAGTACACATTTAAAATATTTCAAATTCTTTTTGAAATGTATTTCATAATTACCCTTACCATAAATATTGTATATTATTGTTAGTTTCAATGTTTTCAAATATAACAACTTCTAACTTGAAAATTGTGCTAGCATTAAAATTATTTTTCTATTATATATATATATATAGTAACACGCTTAACAAAAAAACAGTAATTTCAAACAGTAATANGCATTAAAATTATTTTTCTATTATATATATATATAGTAACACGCTTAACAAAAAAACAGTAATTTCAAACAGTAATATCAAACAATAACATATTCAACAAAAAAAATAGTAACATGCTTAATAAAAAATTTAATTAAAAATTTAATTATTACAATAGAGTGACTTCATATGTGAGTATTTATTCTTCTGAAAGGGTGTCGCTCTATTAAAATGATTAAATTTTTAATTAAATTTTTCTTGAGCATGTAACTGTTTGATGTTACTATTTTTTAGAGAGAGAGAGAGAGAGAGAGAGATTGGCCTGAGGTTGACGTATTGCTGAACTTTCATGAAGTTGAAATATAAAAAATAATATCAGGGTTNTCAATAAAAAATTTAATTATTGCAATAGAGTGACATCATATGTGAGTATTTATTCTTCTGAAAGGGTGTCGCTCTATTAAAATGATTAAATTTTTAATTAAATTTTTCTTGAGCGTGTAACTGTTTGATGTTACTTCTTTTTTAAAAAGAGAGAGAGAGAGAGATTGGCCTGAAGTTGACGTATTGCTGAACTTTCATGAAGTTGAAATATAAAAAATAATATCAGGGTTACAGAAAGCAAGAGAAGAAGGAGAAGGAGAGAAGAAAAGATAGGAAAGAGTAACCAAGTTGTGTGTAGGGTAGGTTGTTTTACACTCTAATTTATAACTGTGTAATTAACACATGACAAATAGCACAGCTTATGATACGCAAGGACACAAGCTCTTCATTTCTGGGAGATCGCCAGGATTTTGGTTTTCCAAAGATGTAGAAAATGAATTTGCAAGAATGCGTGAAAGCTCTATTTCATGCTTAGACGGTTAATTGTTGCGATAATCAGCTGCCGAGGATGCATGAAAGACTGCAATATTAGGATTTGAGTAATGATATTAGAACCTAAAAAACTAATCTGATTTACTGACAATGATATGAGAGTGATATGATCTAATAGGATCGTGGTAACTGTATACATGTTAGACTTCTCCATCATTCTCTCAGCTTATTAGGTCATTTTTTAAAGATCTAATAACATTACTCTTAGGATTTTGGNACATTAGAACCTAAAAAACTAATCGGATTTACTGACAATGATATGAGGGTGATATGATCTAATAGGATCGTGGTAACTGTATACATGTTAGACTTCTCCATCATTCTCTCAGCTTATTAGGTCATTTTTTAAAGATCTAATAACATTACTCTTAGGATTTTGGTACGGAAGTCGGGAATTTATGAAGAATGCAAAATTTGGATTTTGATATGAAGAAACTTGAGTGCAAAAAAAAGTGAAACATAATCATGCATCATAGTTCAAATGAATGTCTTGATTTCTGAATTTGAAGCATGGGTTTGATACACCGTCTTGAAGAGCACTTTGAAACTTCCATCACTTGGTAACTAAACACCTAAATCTTTACATCATAATTCATATGTAACACTACATCGGACACACTGTTGTTCAGAAAGAAAGAAAAAAGAAATAACTCGCATCAATTAAAATGGAGGAAGAAGANTAAAAATGAAGCATGGGTTTGATACACCTTCGTCTTGAAGAGCACTTTGAAACTTCCATCACTTGGTAACTAAACGCCTAAATCTTTACATCATAATTCATATGGTGCTACTAACACTACATCGGACACACTGTCGTTCAGAAAGAAAGAAAAAAGAAATAACTCGCATCAATTAAAATGGAGGAAGAAGAAATAGGCAAATCAAAATTATACCCCCCCTCCCCCTCCCCAAAAACAAAAAAAAAGACTCCTATTTTTGATATCAGCATGAAATTTGTCGTGACTGTCAATACAGAGGCAACAAAAGCTTAATCCGTACCGAACAAGTATGAAGGGTGTTGGTTGGAGCATCACATACCAAAAATTGCACTTGAATTATTTTTCAGGCCCCCTTTCAGTTAATAATTTGGTCCTCATCATCTTCTTCTTCTTCTTCTTCTTCTTCTTCATCATCATCATCATCATCCTCCTCCTCCTTCTTCTCATCATCCCTGCTTAATTCTGTGAATTTCTCAAGTGAGGAAACTGCCAACAATTCCCCAGCTTTGCTTTCGTTGTTGACAGGCGTTTTAGCTGAATTAGTCTTTCCTTTGTTCATCTGTTGCAATAAATTGGGGTAAGCACTCAGAAATTATAGCATTTAATAACACAAAAATGAAAAAAAAAAAATTTGGAGCATGCTGCAATTGGCAAAGTAAAAACAGTATTACGAAGATATCTAGGGGCTATCCCACATCGGATAGCCTTAGGGTGTGTGTGTGTGTATTTATGACGGCTATGGCACTTCTCCTTTCAAGGAGTTGTGTTGTAGTTTGTTTGTCTCAAAAACAACTGTGTGCTTTCCAGGGTGGTCCTGTGTGGGCTCTGCTGCATCCCACTTTAGGCCCGTTTCAAAGTATGGGGAGGCCAATGGGCCTGGGTGGATCGATGGGCAGGGGCTATCCCACATCGGATAGCCTTAGGGTGTGTGTGTGTATTTATGATGGCTATGGCACTTCTCCTTTTAAGGAGTTGTGTTGTAGTTTGTCTGTCTCAAAAAAAGATATCTACAAAAGGATTTTATCACATTATTGCTTTTAGAAGTTAACAATGAAAGCAAAATGCATTCAGCGAAATGTCTGCAGGCAAACTGTCATCCCAAACTCTTAATACAAAGCCCATGCAAACTAATGCATCTCAATACTAATTAAAAATGTTCTAAATAAACAGGATCCCAAAAAAAAATCGCAGAAGTTCAAAAATTTGGCTGATCAACCAATCCAGTTAACAGATGCAATCATCTGGTGACAGAAGTTTGGTCCGAAAAATAGTGTCCTTGGTCTCTCACGGCCTATGAACTGGACCTGCCCAAACAATCCATAAGCACATCCTAAAACTTCTTTCAGGGACTACACAACCAAGCAATTTGAGTAAACTTGTATATTTTGAGTCTTTTGACACCAAAACATACTATTCATTAACTAAAATAGTAAGAAAAACAAGAACTACTCCCACTTGCTCAAGAACCACCAATTTCAACCAAATTATGAAAGAACCACTTCTAAGTTTTTTTTTCGCCTTCTAGCTCCATCAAGTAAAAAGCCCTACTGGTAACTATTTTCATTCGAAATATGCAACCACTTCAAAAGATGTATTAATTACAATGTCTTGAGAACGGATAGGTATGAACACCGACTTTGCTCAATCTGATGAGCTGTACATCCATGTGTTGACCATAAATTTTAAGAAAGATCTTGCATCTGGCCTGTTAAGGATAATTCCTTGTGATATTAAACCATCGCCAACATATTGATGAAAGTTTTGTAATAACAGACCTACATGGAGCCACTATCAAAACCTAATCTCATAATTCTCTTATTCAAAATGGTATACTTGGCTTTAAAACCATAATTTTTGCCATCTAGATGATTCATTATGCAAGTTTCACTGTATTTTTTTATTTTTCACGCTAGATGCAGATGCATATGAATTACATACTATAACCTTTGTATTGTGAATCTATGCTTTCAAGAATATTAATTTTACTTTAGTGACTTATCCCTCAAAAACATATGAACAACATTTTTTGACAACATCAGATGTGTGCTGCTAGCTCTTGCAAGCCATCACTACAAGTATTCATCATGAAAGAGTCTTACAATTTGACAATATTTTCTCCTTTTAAATTGGTATAAACAATGCCTAGGCATTCAAAAAGAACCAATTCAAAACCTGTACTGAGTTTTGTTCTAATTTTTAATTTCATGCAGTAAATTCCAATGCTGCTAAACGTAGCATTTAGCAAATTGACAAAAAAAAACTAAGAAAAAGATGACAAATCTAAAATTCATCTTAAAATAAAAACTGAAGGGCATTGATATTGGGTCTTACAGCTCGTAGTAGAGTTCTTCTATCCCTCTCTCGAGCATTCTTAATGGCCTATCACATATATGCAGTGCATCAGCACTGAATCAAAAACCAACAATAAATAAACTGTAAACAATAAACTTATGAACAGTCTCCAAACAATAAACCACCTCCTCAAGTGTCTTTTGCTCAGCCTCCACTTCTGAACTATCTCTGCAAGTCAGTAACATATATGCATACTCAGCACTTTTGACAATAAATTGAATGCATTGGCATTATTACCTTCTAGAAAATGAAGCAATTTAAGGGAATTTTCGTTATCAATGTTATATAATTCTATCATATGCATAAAACAAGGCTTGCCTCCCAATTATCCGCCCAACTTGGCACGAACACTTTGCACAGACATTTTGCTCCTTAGCACAAGCTACATATACATATTGCATCAAAAAACCAATTGAGTTAACAAAAATCAAAAAGAAAAAAAATCATACATGTTTTCTACGCTTACAAGGCCTTAAATCTTATGACAAGAAAACTAAAATTGAAAACTAACCAGGACATAGATTGTGATAAGCCTGACGAACGGTTCGTTTAGAACATCGTTGGCTGGTAAAAATTTTCAAATTTTAATTCACTCAACAATCCTTAATGAAGTAACCGAATGAATTTACAATTACATGGAAGAAATTGAAAAGATTAAACACAAAATTACCATTTGGCGGGCTCGATGAGGGGTTTGTATTTGCCGTACTTGCGTTTCCAGTCGATTTGATCTTTACAGCGAGAGCACACTCCGGTAATCTCCGAGTACGGCCTGAACTTGCCTCCCACCTCCTGTCGTCGGTGATATACACATATATTAGCAATTTATATCGGGCCAGAGAGAGAGAGAGAGAGAGAGAGAGAGAGAGTACGGTTTCGTTGATCTTGCGACCGGCGTTGGGTTTCCAGGCGTACGTGTTTTGGTGCTTTGGTGGCTGCCCTCTCCTACTGCTGCTCATCTTTAGCGCATCTCCTTCGGCGCTGAAGCCAAACACCCCCTGCTATAGCAAATGACCTATTGGGCATGTTTGGTTACGAAACCAGACCAATCCTTAAAAAATGAGGATAACAAAGTGAGATTGAACAAGATCGGACCCGATTAGTTTGAATTAGTCTTACAACTGTGAGAATAATCTCTCCTTTGGTCTTACTTACTCCGGCGGCGACAAATTTATTTTTTATGAATATTTTAATATGAAAATAATATATGTTTTGCCAAAGATGGATCATAAAACAAAATTAATTAACACTAATATTTTATTTGGTACGATTAACAATAAAAAAATGAAAAATTAGATAGACAAATAAAATATCATGCTTTGTAAGAAAAAAAAATAAGAAAAATGAAAAAGTTGATAGATTAATTTTTTTTAATTAACTAAAATTAATTTTTTCAAAATTATAAAAAAAAGTGAATAAAAAATTAATTATGTGTGTTAAATTGTATTATATTTACCTACTAGCGATATTAGAATATGTGTACAGTTGGAGTGTACATATAATATGTGTTTGTGTGTGTAACTGTGTGTATTATAATGTGTGTACAGTTTGAATGTATATATAATGCGTGTGTGTGTTGGAGTATGTATGTGTGTGCAGCTCTGAATTGGAGTGTGTGTAGCTATGTGTTTTGGAGTGTGTATTGGATTTGTAAAATTTAGGAAAAAAAATTTGTGTTGGGTGTGTGAAATTTTAGAGGGAAAATATACTTTTATAAGTTTAAATATCTAGTTAATTTATTATATAGATATATAATTTTTAATCCAAATAATTTATGCTTAAATTGTAAGTGTTATCAAAATTTTGTACTTGATGCGTGCATATTACTCATGGGAAAAGAATAATTTTTTGTTATTTTAAAATTATAATTTTTTTCACATATTTTATTATTAAATTACTTATTAAAAATTTAAATTGATAAAATCTTATTTATGATTAACTGAGAGTGAATGAATTAACTATATTATCTATTAAAAAAATTATTGTCAAAACTTAACCAATATTTTTATATTTCAAAAAATAAATAAAAATAATTTTAAAGAAATAAAAATTATTATAATTAAAAATATAATATATTAATAAATAAAATATTAATAAGGTCTCATATGAAATTTTTGTTTAAGACCCCACTTTACCTTGGACCGCCCACCCCTGTTTCATCAAGCCAATCAAACGCACTGTACACATATATCTACATAATGTATAATATGTAATCAAATTGCGAGTGTGGTGGATTGCCAAGAATAGGTAAGTTTCTTTTCTACCTATAATTTCAAGATGAAATCTGAAGAGGAAAGACAAGTAAATTTTGCGCACACGGATAGAACATGTTTAAATCTAGTAGTACATGGACTGTCGTGAAGTAGCTGAAATTACAAGGTATGGGACATGGGAGACATTGTTGGTTTAAGACTAGGAGAGAGTTGTCTTGTCCTGTGCGTGGGCCAGTTGTTGGGTTGGGTGGCCTCCAACCTCCACCTCCGTTTTGTTTTGTTTTGTTTTCATCCATCCTTAATCAAAGCAGCAGCAGCAGCCGCCACCAACGCTCTCGGCGGTTATTTCCACATTTCCCACCCTCTGCTCCATCCCGTAGCCAGCTTCTGGAGAATATATTTGCAGATCCAAGAGGTTTTGGAATTGGACCTGATGGTAGGTATAGATGCTAGGATCCCAAGTTTACCGAAGGCACTGCTCATGTCTAACCCCTGAAGACTGGTTGTCCATTGACACTAGAGCTGGTTTCCAATACTTGAAGGACGGATGGATGGCTCCTTTTTATCTATTAGTTGGTGTGCACGTGCGTTGCACGTGGACTATTATCATATTTATTTATTTTTTTTTATTAATGGTAAAGATTGTTAACCATCTTTTTTTTAAGGCCAAAATATGCGACAACCAAAATAAAAAGAAAGATTAACAAAATGAAAGAAAGAATAACTATTGTTAATTTGAAATTACAAAGATAACCCTTAGTAAAAGTATTCTTTATGTTGACAATATTGTTTAAACCAATAATAAATCACTACACAGACATAGCTAGGAAACCTCACCTAGAGAAATTATCCCACCCTACATAAATGTCCATGCGTGTGACTACAAATGGATCTAAGGGTGTCTATGGGTTGGGTTATTCATCGGTTTTGTTATCCAGCTTAAAAAAAATTGGTCTAAAATTTGATAAGCTCGATAGTTGACCAGTCTGAGTATGTGTCCAATATCTTTAAAAAGAGGATTTGAATTTATCCTCAAACTCTTTACCCGACCTGAAGCCCAGCTCAAAAGCTCGCCTGTCAAGCCCAACTCGCCCACATATCCTGCCTTCTCTTTTTTCAAAAAAAACTTATACTTTTAAAACATTAAATTTGAAATTTTAAAATAAGTTTTTCAATGTCGAAATTTGAAGTTTTAAAAATTTAGATAGTATAAATAATGTATTATTTTATTTTTCATGTATTAAGCATATAAATTTTAAAGGATAGAGTAATACAAATGATAGATAAGTAAACATGTGTCAATCTAGTTGGGATGTATTCATTCTAGATGTAGTTCATCCCCTAATTAAAAATAAAATTATTAATTATTTTATTTTTATCCATTTTAACTCTACTTTTAATTCTAAAATATAATTTACATAAATATTAAATTACAAAAATATTCATTATTTTTAAATACAGTTATATATAAAAAAATCCGCGAACAAGCCGGTCCAATGGGCTTGTAGGTTAAGATGTGTGTAGGCTACCATTATCTAAAGCCCGGTTCGACCTGTCCGATAATTTACTTGAATAAGGATTTGGACTTATATTATTTAGCCCAATGCAAAAAAAAATTTCGCAGGCCTAAACCAGCCCGATCCATAGACACCCGTAAGTGGATCTCTCTTTGCACTCTCTAGAGCATTTCCAATAGGTGGATTATACTCCACGAGACAAGAGTACGGAAAACTAAGGGAATGCTTCTCCTCATTCAACGGTTGATTAAATGTTCAAAATTCTGGTTTCACCCATAATTTAAAGGTTGAAACACGTTAATTATACACGATACAATAAACATAATAACTTTCCAAATTCTTACACACCGAAGAATGCTTGGCAGAACTCAACAACAATCATCAATTACCTCCAAAGTCAACCATAAATTTGAAGCAGAGCTCATTTCATAAGCTCTATTTAAAATTACAAAGCATGTCAGTTATTCAATTGCAGAATGGCCAAACGCATTAGGAAAAATTCTTTAAGGCAACAGAAAACAATTTGGCATCTATTATACAAGGAACATGATCCTCTATACCCTGTAAAAGCCTCCATACATGCTATTAGCCGACAGTAAACATATGTTTCTTCTGTGGTTTCAACATATCATTTAAAGTTGGTTCTATCATAAATATCCTACAAGTGTGTATGAGAGATAGAAGACATTCAACTGATCATAAATGCATATCAAGCTATTCTCAAAGAATCACATATATCAGATAANGTTATTCTCGAAGAATCACATATATCAGATAAATAGTGAAATCAGGACGATACAAAAGTGTTAGTTTAGTCAAGAAGACATGCAATAAGAATTAAAACACTATGGTCAATGTAGGATGAACCATCTAAAGGTTAAAACACACAAAACATTTGAAAATTAGAACAAAGTCATCATAGGAACATATTGATGGCCGTCTAGAATCTATTTATATAATGATATTTTCCGAACAAAAAAAAAGGAATGGACAAGTATCCAACAATTAGTACACATTTTCCACATTTAGATGACTCCACAAATATTTGCTGCTTTATCCTCTTCAGAATGCTATGTTTGATGTTATTGTATAATTTTTTTTTATAGTCTCGACTAATTTTCCGTTCAGCCACAACTAACCAAAGCCTCAATAAGAACATTATGTCAAAGTACACAACAATTTCTTTTGCTCTTCCCACTTGAGTCAACAAACAAAAAAAAATTCATGAATGCTACAAAAAGGAGCTTATCCAGAATTCGGGCTTGGTGGACAAATTATTCCAAGAAGTCAGGTCTCTAAGTCTATTCCATAATGCTACTTGAACCTTTTAGTTGATCTAATCTATCAGTAGTGGATCCTATTAATATTGGGAATATCATCAATCCAACAATTATTAGGCTAGCTGATTAAGTATGCAAATTAAGTTCCTTAAGCATGGTTCAACAAATTGAACTACTCGATATTCTTAGAGTCATTGTATAAATTTTACAAATGAAATTTGCACTAATGTATTATAAAGTACTTATAATTAAGCACAAAATGAAAGGGAATGATTACAAATTTTAAAATTACTTGTAAAAATTACCTGCATGTTGGTTCCACTTGCCAGTCCAATGAGTTTAGCCAATCCTGCTGACATGAAAGGACCTTAACAGGAAACAATTTAATTGACCCAACACCCAAGTATTTGAAAACATAATTTCATAGAAATAAAATTCTAATTTCAAACACTTGTAGTAGTTGTATTACGAAACAAAAAAAAAAAAAACAGAAAAGGGACCTTGTTAACTAAAGAACATAGGAACTTGCAATCAAGAACAATGTGATTAAGCAAGATAGAGGAATGGCCGCTGAATTTTGAATGCTTTAGCTACCCGTTTAGTAGTATGTATAGAGAGAGAGAGAGAGAGAGAGAGAGAGTTTAAGGGTCACTTTGTCAGCATAATAAATATTGGTTATGGACACCAAAAGACTGAAAGATGAAAGATACTGCAACTATACAGTGTTCAAAGATTTTTGACCCCCAAGAATACAATAATAATTTAGACGTTTAAATGGAAAAGGATAGCATTGAAATTAATTGTTTGACCAAGTTTGATTTAAATATCCAATGGAATTCATGTGTTCATATATTTAAGTCCATTAAAAATTAGAATCAAATTCCATCCTTTCAATTAAATATTAGATAAATTTATTAAACTATATTTAAATTTTAAGTGGTTCGTGTAAACAATGCCATAAGACTGAAAGGGCCTTAAATGCTTGAGAAGAGAACCT